CCCCAGTGGGTCCCTACCCCCTTTTTAAGACACTTGGACAGTAAATCTAAATTCTCCTGACATTAAATAGCTCAGGTTTACCATCAAATCAATCGACAATCCTGCATGCAAGCACCTAAACTGGCTTTCGTTTCCATATGCAGGTGAGTTATGAAGTATTTCTCTAAAATATGATCTCCATGTTATGGAAGAATATTAGGGCCACTGAAAAAATAAAAAAGGTAACTGATTATTAAACACTATTTCAGTTTAATACGGGAAAAAAGTCAGAATTCTGAATTTTTTCTCACAATTCTGACTTGAATCTCAGAATTTTGGATCCTAATGTAGAGGGGCATCATGAAGGAAGAGATATGGGAGCACTCAGCTTCACCGACAAAGATGTGAGTTGTTTGGGAGGAACAGTAACACATTGGTGGAAAATTTGGTGACTTTTTTACTTCCCTGAGGGGTCCTCTGTGATGCCATTTCATTAATGGAACAGCAGAAGGTGATTAAAACAAGACAGTTAGTTTAGTCTCTAGACATGGCTACGGCTTGATGCTAACATATTTGTTAGCTGTCAGAATTTAGTCAGAATTCTGAGATCAAAGTCAGAGTTTTCAGAAAAATGTCAAAATTGTGAGATTAAAGTCAAAATTGTGAGATTAAAGTCAGAGTTCTCAGAAAAATGTCGGAATTGTGAGATTAAAGTCACAGTTCTGAGATTAAAGTCAAAATTGTGAGGAAAAAAAAGTCAAAATTGTGAGAAAAAAAAAAGTCAAAATTGAGAGGAAAAAAAAGTCAAAATTGTGAGGAAAAAAAAAGTCAAAATTGAGAGGAAAAAAAAGTCAAAATTGTGAGATTAAAGTCAGAATTCTGAGATTTAGAATTCTGTCTTGTTTGTCATATTATACTGAAATAAAATGTAAAAATCAGTTAACTGTTTTATTTTTTCAGTGGCCCTACTCCTCTTCCGTACCATGTGGATTAGTGCCTTTATCATCAGCAGTGCTGGTCATCATCTTCCTACCATCAGCCTGTTGAGGACCTCCAGTCGAGCAGCTGACTCTCTGCTGTTTCGGTCAAAGCAGCTGACTTTCAGAGGGCTCTTTCTGACCAGGAGAACGAAGCTCCCGGCCAGGAAGCACAGCAAGGCGAAGGACACATAGATGAAGAGCTTGAGCAGGAAGGAGGTGAGAGTCAGGCCTCCCCAGGCCAGTTGAAACGCCACTGCCGCCACCACACCCAGGCAGAAAGCCGGGACGACCCGGGAAGAGGAGCCAGCAGCGGCGGGCATGGGCTCCTCCGCTCCTCCGGCGCTGCTGCTGCTGCTCCCTCCAGCCAGCGACGTAGCGGTAGTTGAGGGGGTGGGCATGCTGCGGCCCCACCATCCATAAATGGGTCACTGCTTGTTAGGCTGCGGCTCTGGAGGTCCCCTGCGTGCGGTGAGCGCTCCGGTATCCCACAGACTACAGGAGCGTCTCCAAGGAGAGGCATCCCCGCTGTGACATCTCCTCCTGGATCCACCCCGCTAGGTCTGCCCCGCTCCGAGCATCGAGCTCCGCCTCAACACAACCTCCAGACAGGAAGCCAAGCGGAGCCAGGGTGAGGAGCTGATGGAGGGAGCGACGACAGCGTCACCTTGGAGACAAGCAGGCACCATTACATTAACCATTTACAAAAGTGGAACAAATAAAGGAGAAAACAACAATATTGTTCTAAAACAGAGATGAACCCCATCAGAGAGAGCTGTTAGAGGTGAGGAGCCAGCTAGCTAGCCTGCTAATAAGCTGTTTAACAGCAGCTACTGTTAGCTCACCTCTGGTTACTGGCTGGTAGGAACGTTACATTCCTGCTTTCCAAAAAATTATACACCAAATATTTTCAACAGGCTAAACACATAAAGAACCGCCTCCAGCTCGCCGGAAACAGGCAGCACAGAGTGAGAAAAACAACCGATATTCTCTTTAAACCCTCCAGCTGACTGGCAAGCTGTCTCTACGTGAAGCGGTGTCAGCCAATCAGCGGCGGCGCCCGGCGCTGACGTCTCGCCGGATTTCATCTCCGCACATTTTGTAAGGGCGGGGTTTAAAGCCTTAACACAGTGGTCGATACACAGGTCGAAGCGCCGCCCCTACCAGGGTGACCGTATCAGCTATTCAAGCACACCAAAAGATAAAAGGCTCCTGGCTCCCTTCTGTGACAGTTTTTTTTCTCAGAAAGACGTTCACAAAAGACGCCATTCAGCGTGAATACAAGTGAATGATTCTAATCTGAGATCACGATAAATCGTATTTTATCCACAGACATGATCACATATATCACTTCCTTGAAATATTAAAATGTGTCAATAAAAACAATAAAAAAAAAACGTCCCCTTATTTGACACGTGATAGACATGTGTCAAAATTGCTTGACCCAAGGGTATATATATATATATATATATTAGTGTCTTCCTACTTTCAGTCCATATTCCCAATTTCTCACAGTAAAAAGGATCCCATCCAATGGTTGGTTTTTTCTTTACCTGCTGCTTTTTTTAGTCCCAGTTTTAGTCCATATTTCGCTCACAAGTTAAATTATTATTGCTCAGTCTAGTTTAATAATCTCCGGTTGGCATGTAAGAGTAATTAAACCAACACAATATTTTAATTCTTAAAGCTTCCAGGTTTGTCTATCATACCCATAGGAGCTCAACAAAATGAAAAAGAACCATTGCATTTTATTTTTGAAAGCATCAGCCACCCAAGAAAAGACCAACCACATCCAGAGAGGATGAGCTCAGATATCCTGGATTCATAGAGGAGAAACCACAGGGATGCTCTTCTTTTATTATTACTTATCTTATTCATTTATCTTTATTTTGGTCTGTTAAATATGTTTAAATACTTATTTTCCATCACACCTTCCAAACTGAAACATCCAGAGAAGTGCTGGCTCCTGTCATGGTGAGTTTATATCATATCTACAGCCTCCTAGAAGGTCTGAATAGTTTAGCCGTTTTGTCCATTGTAAGAAAAACTAACAACATAAAGAATGAAGCTTTTTAATCCTTAGCCTATTACCAAATATTCATAGACAGTTTGCATTGGTTTGGATTGCACTGGTTCCTGTATCAGTGTCAGTAATCCAGTAATAACTTATTAGGTCCCCATTGTTTAATTTACTTGACCTGCAGAGAATAATTAATGAACATTCTTAATTTAAAGTATATTTAAGATGCAAGTATTTAGGTAGGGCCCATTCTGCTTTAATTCAATTCTCTAAAAATCACCAGAATGTAGAAAATAAAATAAAATGTTCCACATAACTACAGATCACTTGTTACTCAGTTACACATTCTGACTATTTGTTTTAGCTAAATCCTCTCTCTCTCTCTCTCTCTCCCTCTCTCTCTCTCTCTCTCTCTCTCTCTCTCTATATATATATATATATATATATATATATATATATATATATATATATATATATACAATTTTATTCATATCTAAGTCACTTTATTGGAGGCAATTGTGTCTAATAGAGATTCTCAATATACCTCCTTTGTGTTTGTGTGTTTTTGAGGATGGTTAGTGGAGGCAGTGTGTGTGTGTGTGGGGGGGGGGGGGGGGGGGGGGGGGGTTGTTCAATCGAAGTATATCATCATCTCCACTTAAGTGTGTTAAACTCCAGGGGATTCTGACCACACCAGTCCAATTATTGGGTGTCTGTATTCTATTCAATTCAGTTTATGGTTAGACTATGTATCAGTTCAGTTAGATCATCCAGTCAGATTGTTTTTTTTTTTAAGGAAATCCAGCTGATTGCATCCAGGAAATATATTTATATATTTGATGGATTGGCTCCTCCTGGATGAACATGTATAGACAGCAGCTGTTACTTGCATGATGTCGATGACTCTATAGCAGAGGCCTTCAACAGGACGTCCACGGAGGTACTGCTATATAATATATATATTGACAGAATGTGGAATTTTTATAGGACGGTACTGCTATATATGAGGGTCGTGAAAGTTTTGGTTGATTGGGCTTAGACTGTCTTAAAATACACATTAACATGAATTCAACACAATGTAGTAAACAGATAAATGGAGGCAGAATATGTCTTTCACAGGGGCAGAGCTAGATGGGGGGGCCAGGGGTGGCCATGGCCACCCTTAGCCAATTACTGGCCACCCCTGTGCACACCCCTACCATTTTTTCCCCTCAAACACAGATGGTGGCAGCAGTAATATGCTCAAGTGGAATATTCAAAACATTTAAATTTTTTGTGGTTAATTATACACATCAATATACTAACATCAAAGATGATAAGTACAGAATTCATGCTCTTTCTAGAACTAGATTTTGTGTTATATGGGGTGATGAGAAAATGAAATGTCTCTGCAAGTCATCTAGGAATCTTCAGTGAAATCATAGATAAATAACAATTTTAATAAAAACTTATCAAATAATCAATTTATGTAGATATTAGTGCTTCTAAATATAATTTTTATGCAGAATGTTTATAAGTAGGTAAGTAAAGAAAATGGAAAAGATTTACGTCCCAGAACTTGAAACTGAAAGAGTTTTATCCACTATACCTTTTATTTAGAAAATACGGATGTTTAAATATATGCGTGTATTTGTCAGCAAAGGCTGTAGGAAAGTATAGTTTGTCTTTATTTAGAAAATATGGATGTTTTGGTCGTTAATTTTCCTGTTGGAACAGTGTAGATTGACCCTGAGGTTCTGGTGCCTATCCACTATCAGGAGACCCCTGGCTTGGTTAGCTCTGGTGTTTAAGGGGAGCTCAGACTGATGTAAAGCACCTCTAAAGGTCACATGACCGGTTCAGAGATGAATCCGACCTTCTCAAGTCACATAGGACGATCTGTGAGAAGAGTAGCACACATAGAGCATTTATACACATTCTGACCTGAAAAGTCATTGAACATACTCCATTTTAAGCTAATAATTGTGTTAAAATGTATGCAGTGCTGCTTGAAATGAATAGAGAAATCAAGACATATTGACCACCATGCTGTTTAATTGCAGAACATTTTATTTTAATGTAGCTACATTTTTCTAAATACATTTGATAGAAATTCTTAAATCTTGGAAAAAAGGATAATAAACCACCCTGTTAAACGGTTAAAATACACCTGTTCAGTCAGTAGCAGCTGTGCAATAAAAAAAATAATGTTTCTGCTGTTACTCATCTGTAAAACTGACATCAAACTTCCATTTGCTCCTTCAAAGCAGACATCTAGATGCAACTTCCTCTTGCAACATTCATGTCTCTAAACCTGACTCAAACTTTCACAAGTCCTCAGTTTTTCCCCTTACTTGTGCATTTTAGGAATACTTCTGTTATCTTCCCGTTTCACTTGTGGCATTTAGAGTTTTTATGATTTAGAAACAATCCTTGCAGCTTAAAAACTTATAAAGAGATTATTGAAAGCAGAGTATTTTATTTATGATTTGCTGAAGCAAAGTCATTCTAGGAGGGTCCCCTGAGAGGAGCTGCTATCTGGTCGCTGGTGAGGTCCGTTTTGTGCTCTATGGGTCTGAGCTTCATAACGCAGCTCTTCAGTGAGTACCACCAGCCTCTCCATGGGTACCAGACCACACCATCGTCTGTCACAGCGCTGTAGTGTCCGTTGGGGTAGTACACGCCGTTGAGATTGGCCGAGTGGCATCTAAGGAAAGCCCAGATCAATCAGAAAAACTGCTTGATTGTTTATAGGAAGGATAAATGTGGATTTATCCTTCATGGTGCAGCCCATACTTATTGAACCACCAGCCTCCCTTGTCCTCCTGAGCGCAGCTGCCTCTGTAGTTGTCGTTGTCTTGGTCGTAAGTGCTGAATTTCATGCCCTGGTGACCAGCCCACTTGGAATCAGGAGCCTGATAGCTTCCAGTCAAAGCATCTCCGGCGGTACCAACGTAGGCGCCGAAGGTAAGGCGGTACTGATCCTACCGCCAAAAATAAGAAAGAAGAACTTGCATAAGTTTAACTCTCTTTATTTTGACATCCAAATTTACAGCCATATTCTGATTTCTACTACAGTGGAAGCCATTCAAAATTTCCCCGCTTTCCTTGATGGGCCCTTGGCTGGCAGATACCCCAAGTCTCCCGGAAGTTCCAGGAGATTCCCTGATGTTGATACTTGTTCACGGATGCCCGCGAGTCGGATAAATGATCCCAGATTTTAGACTATCCGAGGTGGTGATTTTTTTATGTGACTGAGAGCGTGCAGCAATACAATAATTCGTGCATCATGTGGGGATTAGAACTACTTTAATTGCTCAGACAACAAGAGAAAGGGGGTTGGGGAGGTAGCCTGACGTAGTCCTACTCAATTCTAGTCAGAATATGAGTCTGATGCTGCTCCATAGAGCTGTGATTATGGGGCGTGTTTCGAATGAACCAGGAAACAAAATGCCTCTGCACTCAATTGGATAGATCTACAACCAATAAGAGCAACGGAGTGCGTGACGTATGTTAAGCGAGGCATAGTTGTTGTCAACAAAAATCAAAGCGTGCAGTTTCACGCCTAGAATAAGAAGATGAGCCTTGATCGTGTTTCTCTGTTCCTCTTTTAAAATTAATTTGCTGTCGATATCTTCTAGAACAGACCTAATAGCAGAATCTACTCACCTCAACTCTACGGCGGCAGCCATTGTTGTTGTCACCCAAGCGCGCTTTGGTCACGTGGTTTATTAGTTACTGTTGATCATCTGTCCATCATGGTATAAAGCCCACCCTGACAATTTGATTGGATCGCCAGAGAGTGGGCGATCGTACTCGCGCTACTATTGAGCAGAGCCAGACCGAAAATCCCGACCTCAAACCTTGTGGGCGGGACTAAGTTCGGAATGGCACCCAGGCTAATGGAGAGGAGGTTGCTTGTGAAACATGTGCAGAGTATCTGTCCAAAGCAATACTCTGTTCAACCAGCATTCCAGGCGACTGGTTGTCAGAGCGCGCTGATTGTATTAGTCAGAAAATAGGCGGGGGATTCAGGGGGTTCAGTAATAAGGAAGTGGATTAGGGCCACTGAAAAAATAAAAAAAGTTAACTGATTTTTAAATTTTATCTCAGTATAATGTGAGAAAAAAAAATCAGAATTCTGAGAAAAAGTCAGAATTCTGACTTTTTTCAGAATTCTGACTTAAAGGGATAGTTCGGTATTTTTGACATGAATCTGTATGGCATCCCCATCACCAGCGGCATGCAATCACACTGACTTACCCCTGGCAGCGTCCTGTGAGCAGAGTTATCATCCAGTTTTGGTCAAGCCGAAAGTAGTCCTGCAGGTTTTTAGGAACAGCGAAATAAAACTTTTCTCTTCCCAAAACATTATGTGTTCAAAAGAGTGATATTTTCGCATCCCAAAAACATTGTAGTGGAAAAAGTGACACGTTGTTATCAATTGGTCCTATTTTCTCTCTGTTCGTATCAGTGCGCGCCGTCATTCAGACAGCGAGCCCAACAACAGCCATGTCTCCTTCCGCGGCGGAGGGAGACATGCATCTGGCTGTTGTTGAGCTCGCTGTCAGAATGACGGCGCGCACTGATACGAACAGAGAGAAAATAGGACCAATTGATAACAACGTGTGACTTTTTCCACTACAATGTTTTTGGGATGCGAAAATATCACTCTTTTGAACACATAATGTTTTGGGAAGAGAAAAGTTTTATTTCGCTGTTCCTAAAAACCTGCAGGACCACTTTCGGCTTGACCAAAACTGGACGTCAACTCTGCTCACAGGACGCTGCCAGGGGTAAGTCAGTGTGATTGCATGCCGCTGGTGATGGAGATGCCATACAGATTCATGTCAAAAATACCGAACTATCCCTTTAAATTCTGAGAAAAAATTCTTAAAATCTTAAAATTCTGACTGAATTCTAGCAGCTAACAAATATGTTAGCATCAAGACGTAGCCATGTCTGTTTAGGAGACTAAACTAGCTCTCTTGTTTTATCACCTTCTGCACTTCCATTAATGAAATAGCATCAGGGACCCCTCTGGCACGTAAAAAGTTGCCTAATTCCATCATTTTCCACCAATGTGTTTGTGGCCTTCCAAAACAACTCACATCTTTGTCAGTAAAGCTGAGTGCTCCACATCTCTGCCTTCATGGTGCCCATCTACATTAAGATCCACAATTAAATTCAGAATTCTGACTTTTTTTCCATATTAAACTGAAATTATATTCAAAATTAGTTCACTTTTTTTCTTTTTTTCAGTGGGACTAATCCTCTTGCGTACGATAAGCATCTCCCTGAAATGAGTTTTTGGAACTTGGGATGTCTGAGCTGGTCCTTGGCTGCTCCCCAAAATCCTTTTTAAACATCTAAATCATTATTTCTGTCATGATTTGAGGACATTAAGATCTAAAGAGAGATTTCATCTCCTGGTCAGACCCTGTAAGTCAGTGACAGGGTGGAGTATGAGTGAAAAAATATGCTCGCCCAGGAGAAAGCCAGCGGCTGGAAGTTAGAGGGGATATTGCTGCCATTCGGCTGGCTTTTGACTGGGAAGGGCCATTTTGAATGGCTGCTACTATACTGCATATCTTAAAGTCCCATTTTCAATAACATATTTTTGCTTTTTTAAAGCAACACTGTGTAACTTTTGCACAGCAAAAAATATGAGTTATATTTCTTCAAATAAGTTAATTGGCTCTATATTTAAACAGGTAAATAAGATTGTCTGCCAGTGCAATGAGTGTTTTGTTGGATGACATTTTTACATGTTTGTACATCACTGAGTCACTCTGGATACAAAGTTTTACTGTGACTGCATTCTATTAGCACATCATTTCTTTAAGTTTCTGTTTTATATTTTGGTTTTACTCAGTGTGTTAGTAAATTAATCCCTTGGTGAAAACTTACGATAGCAAAGAAGTTACAATACTGTAAATGTTAGCAGTACACTGGAAAAAATAGAAAAATCTAGATACATAATTTTTTCTTAAAATAATTGCATTTGTTCTTGGACTGAGAAGGTAAAAGAAATGTTGCCAATGGAACAAGACAACTTCCACTTAAAATAAGAAAACACAATTGCATTATTATATTTCAAGTGCATATTATCTAATTAGCTTATTTAAAGAGCAAAAATACTTACCACAAATTATGTGATTTACCTACTCAAATTACGGGTAAACACACTAATTTAAGGGAATTTTAACTTATTTGTAGATCATTTGTCCGGTGTAGGAGAGGATTCACCAACTTTATTTAAGAAGTATGCATTGGTCTTTAACAGCTGATATTCTATTGTAGGTCAATAGAGCTTTATTTAGCAGTCGCCATCTGGCAATTCTGTAGAATGGTCGGCAGGTGGCGCCACATCTGTTAATATTTGCTCATCAAACTGAAATGGAATTCTATTTAGCCTCAAAAAAGGACTTATCTAAATGAATATAATGTGACAATGCACCTTTAAAATGAGATTACTATAAAAAAAAAAAAAAAAAAAAAATATATATATATATATATATATATATATATATATATATATATATATATATATATATATATATATATATATATATATATATATATATATTTTTTTTTTTTTTTTCCAAACATAAATTATATATTTTTTCTGTATTTAATATCCATTGGTAAATAGTCTTACCTACCAGCTCAGTAAATATAAAATTACATACTTTCGTTTTTAACCATGTGACCCAAATATTAGCTTTATTTCAGAAATATTAAACAGATTTTCAGGTCAATATTAAACTATATATCAATGTCCCTGCAGGACATCTCTCCTATGTATCTTGAGAGGGTGAGCTGGAGGGGTGAATGTTGCCTTGACTTTACCAGAAGCACCATGACTTCTCAGTCTACTGGTCCAAACTGGTCTGCTTCAGATTCCAAACACAGTGGAAACTGGTTCATTTAGAGACAGCAGTGTTGCCGGTTGCACATGTAAGACCTGGGAGTTTCACACTGACCTCTATTTATTCACTGGATTGCCCGAAAAGTGAAGTCACCTGCCGCCATATTGGTACTCCCCACTCCCACCGAGATGTGCAGTAAAAATGCCTACATGTAGCATGCGACTGTAAAAACAAGCAGTTTGCCGACTGTGGGAAGACATTTCACAGATAATTTAGTGTCAGTGGATATATTAAGCAATAAAAGCCATATATACTCCGATGCATCCTATAGTATAGTATGTAGCATAACTTTAGTCTGGCTATCTCAGACTGACTCAAAGACATTGACTAAATTGTCGACTGACATTCGGTCTAACATAAGAAAATGGAAAGTAGATCAAATAGAAAGTAATTCACTGTGAAATGTCAATGTAGTAATTCTTTATTTAGTGAATGACACGTTCGTTTTTTGTAGTGTTTGTTGTATTTCTCATTTGAAAAAGTCATGTGCTGAAATATAGCGCAAGTTATATTGAGAGAAAAAGCCACTCAAACATTTTTAAAGGCTAATGCACAGACAGCATAAAAGTACATGGCGTCATGCATGCACAATTTGCTAATTGGAGAACACTTCAGCATTAACAGACATGTAAATGTAATTCAGTCTTGATGTAAAATTTTGAAATTATATGTAATATGTTATAACAATAATAATGTCATCAATACACATAATGTCTATTACATATACATCATCAAAACTTTTGGCACTTCAGTATTATTATGCTCCATTAACGCATTAATGTTGTTGTGATGGATTTGTAAAACACGTTATATTACCTGATTTATAGACTTCATTGACTTCATAATGACTATGAAATATGATGTGCCTATATTTGTTTTATTATAAGTTAAAGTAATCTACTGTTGCTATCAAACAGCCGGTGTGTGTCAAAGTGATAAATTTATTTTTTTGTAAAAGTCTTAAGCCCCCCTGAAAATTAGAAAATCATTGTTGTTCGATGCTGTTGCGCACATATTGTTTACATTGTGACCGGTCTAACTAGGGAGTACCAATATGGCGGCCGGTGGCTTCACTTCAACTGGCAATATGCAATCCACTGAATAAATAGAGATCAGTGGAGTTGCAGATGCAGTGCCCCCTAGTGGCTAGAAGTTGCACAGTGCTGCTTTAACCCTTAAACTTTCTTGTAAACCTCCATCCTGCATTCTACTGACGAAAAAGGTCAAAATAGCAAAATGTTTTGATGGTTTTCATGACTCCTTAAAAAACTGCTGAAATTGTTGTTAAATCTTAGGACTTGGACCTTTTCATTTGCGACTTGGAAGTTTTTGTACTCCGCGTATCGCTGGTGACCATCAAAGTCTTCCAAGTTGATCCTCACTGAATAATTCCCTGCAAAAGATCCAAGAGGGATAAGTTCAGTTCCCAAACATTTCTAACTGGGTCCCCCTTTTAATTTCCAAGAAACCTTTGCACCCCCACTGCACCACCAGTCAATCCACAACCTTATCAACAACAGTCAGATAAAGAAAGGTCAGCTGCACTAAATGACATATAGAAATAGAATAAACTTCTAATTTTAAAGAGTTTTAGGTTTAACTATTTATTTTAGAATTCAACATTGCTTTCAATGCATAAAGAAAATGCTCCAGATGGGTTATTTGTATAATTTATTTCTACCCTTCACATAATTAAACTACGTACCACCTGCCCCCGTTTTTGGCATTTACTCAATCATATTTAGTTACTTTTACATGATTGTTTCATGTTTGCAGGGTAGGAAATAAAACAATTGTGTTAAAGTAACTAAATATGATTATACGATGGAGTATTAGGGCCAGGCTAGAGATTTTTTTTTCTTCTATTTCGAGAATAAAGTAACACTACAGAATAAAGTTGTAAAATTATGAAAATAAAGTCGTAACATTACGAGAATAAAGTTGTAAAATTATGAAAATAAAGTCGTAAAATTATGAGAATAAAGTCGTAACATTACGAGAATAAAGCCTTAAAATTATGAGAATAAAGTGCTAAAATTATGAAAATAAAGTCGTAACATTACGAGAATAAAGTCGTACAATTACGAGAGTAAAGTTGTAAAATTACGAACGCGCTATTATCCAAGTCATCTTGAAAACATTCTTCTTCCAAATGTGGGCTAAATATTACGTGTTTTTTCTCTGGCCAAAAGTTCGATGGTAAATCCTCCCTCTTCAGTTGTTGGCAATCCAATTACGAACCCGTCCGTGGAGGATCAGGAATCGGAAAGATGATGTAACTGATATGTTTTTCTCTTTTACCCGATGTATTCCAGCATCCAGCTGCCATGCACGTGGGCATTGTCAGTTTCACTATAGCTCTGGTGAATTTCAATGGTGAAGTCCTCTGGAAATCTTCAATAATTGTTGTTGATTGCAGATGTGTCTAGTAGCTCCCACTGATTTTGCTCGTAAAGCGGGGAGAATGGTGCTAGGCTTACCGCACCGTGACGTCACTGCTGGAAGATGTCAGGACTCAGTGAATTGCAATTTTTTTTATTGTAACGCTAAATTTATTAAATCACCGCAAATGCATTAGTTTTAGGTATAGATAATGATCCATTGATTATTTCTTGCTTATCGGACTTTTCCTTTAAGTTGATGAACCCTTCTAGGTCGCCCCAATTGTGTACTTGCGCCGCTGCAACTCTGCAGGGATTAAACGATCCAACAACTGAAATGTTCTGCAAAGCACAACTTGATGCTTCTTTTCTTAGCAGCACAAAAACAAAACAAAAATTCTAAATGCAACTTTTCACAGAAGCCGTGCACCTAGAACACCGTTGCCATGCTTTAGTTTAAAGTCTTTGTGTCCTCCCTGACATTTGCTTTGCTTGTTGTTTTTGCTGGCTCATCTAAAAAAAGGGGGAAGCCATATTGACCTTGTGTTGTGAGAAGATGCAGGTTGTCATTTCCGAGCCAAAATTCTGCATTCAAATCTCCGAACCCATCTTTGTAGTCTGTCCATGACCTGATGGATTGATGATGGGGGGATTTTTTTTAGCATAGATGATTTTTTTCTCTGAAATTTTGCTTATCATACAGTACACTGCCGACACACCTGTTAAACGACTCCGTGCCGTTGATCCGCCTCTGCAGGACGGTCCAGCCTCCTCCATCAGTCATATCACAGTAGACTTTAACCGTTGAAGGGCTCCCACTGGGCTTGATCCGATACAGCCCGCTGGATTTTAAGCCAGAACCATAGACCTGGGAGCAGTCTGATACACAGAGTTACACAAGCCTAGATTCATCTGGATTTCTCTTGACATATAAGCAAATGCATATTTATTCAGAGTTTCACAAGCTTCCCTCAGGATAAGAGGCACCTGTGTACTGGGTGTCCTGGACCTGGTCAGACCTGGGTAGGGTGATGTCATTCTGTTGGTTCATCAGGAGTAATCTGCGTAGGAGGAGCTCCTGTTTCTGAAGCTGTCTCTTCAGAAGCTGCTCCCTCTCCTGCAGGCGAGCCAGATCCCCACTGCAGCCATCCGATGCCTACACCCACACATACGCACAACCAGGGGGGGGGGATTTAAAATCAAGCAAAACTAGGCAGTCCCAAGTTTCTGGGGGACATAAAACTCCATCCATCCATCCATTATCTGACACGCTTGTCCCGAGGGGGTTCGCGAGGGGTGCTGGTGCCAGCATATATTCCAACATCCAGCTGCCGTGCACGTTAGCCTCTCCAGTAGTCAATGGGCGAGAGGCGGGGTTCACCCTGGACAGGTCGCCAGTCCATCGCAGGGCAACACAGAGACACACAGGACAAACAGACATTCATGCACACACTCACACCTAAGGACAATTTTTGGACTGTGGGAGGAAGCAGGAGTACCCGGAGAGAACCCACACATGCTCCGGGAGAACATGCAAACTCCATGCAGAAAGACCCCGGGCCGGGAATCGAACCCAGAACCTTCCTGCTGAACCCAGAACCCCCATAAAACTCATTTTGCATGTATAGTTAATGCTGCTTTTACTTATTTGTGCACATTAGTTATATTTTTAATAAAAATCCTTTCATTAAAATTTCATCAGAACGCAGAAAGGTCCGAACAGACAGCAGCAAACAATTAAAAAACAAACGATGCGAAGAGCAGTGTTGCCAACTTAGCGCTTGTGTCACTACATTCAGCAACTTTTCAGACCTCTCTAGTACTTTTCCTTTAAAAAGTGCCTTGTGTCAGATCTAGCGATTTTTTTCTGCTACTGGAAACTTTGGTAACAACATATAAAAGCAGCTAACTCTGCTCTCCAGAGCGAGTAGATTGGTAACCCCGCCTCCTGCTCTCCTCTATCTTGTCTGCTGTCATGATTCATGCAGCTATTATTTCATCCAAATGAAAAATGGAGAACAGATAAGCAGATCATGGCTTGTCTACAGTGAAATAAAGGACTGGGTCATTTACTTTTGCCGTCACCTTTTTGGAAACAATGGAAGGAGTAATCAGCTTAGAGAGAATTGGCTTAGTGAGGGACAAAACATAGAACAAATCATGTATGTCTATTCTATTAAAATTTCTCTATCTGTATAATGAGTCTAATTTATGTGTTGTCTTCTCAATTCAGAGGCCCCCTGCCTGTCTTTGCCTAGGGCCCAGAATTTCCCCCCTGCGTACAACAGTTTATGCGGAAATGTTCATGTCTATGGCTCTAATAAATGGGACATCCCATGTTTCAAGTTACAAAGTTACAACTTTGAAGTATTGCAAGTATAAATCTCCAATCTACCAGTTGAAATCTGCACACTTCAAAAACAATCTGTGATAGGTAATAAAAATTCTTAAATTCAGTGCATTTAGCCTTCATTTGAGCAGGTAAATAGGACTATTTGCCAATGGAATAAGTATTTTTACTCTTGAAATAAGATAATTTTATAAAATGCACTTGAACTACTGATGATGCAGTTGTTTTCTCTTATTTTAAATGCCAATTGTCTTGATCCATTGGCAAAGTGTGTCTCACTTTTCCCCTCAATTCAAGAAAAAATTGACTGATTTTAAGGAAAAATTACTAATTGAGATTTCATTTTTTTGCAGTGCAAACCCTTTTGTTGTTAGTGATGCACCAGAAAGTTGTTTCCCACAACAAGAAGAAGATGAACTAGAACCATCCATCAAATGGTATAGCATTTGCTGAAACGACATAAGCAGTATAACTTTTGTTCTGTTTTGCCTTCTTTGTGTTTAACACCAGGTGATCAACAACTATCAGGTGCATTACCACCACAAACTGTTAAGGATTTAACAGCTTCTCCAGGGATGCTACATTTTAACATGTAGTTGTTATCTTTAATTAGTACCAGTGTTGCGTTGATAGCATTTTTTGGCCCCGATACCCAATACCTGGCTGTGTAGTATCAGCCGATACGATAACATCTGTTTGGAAAAAAGGAAAAGGAAAAAGACTAATACAAAGAACTTTTTATTGCTTATCTGGAATGGGTGACAATAGTTGAATAAACTTTTGGCTCTCAAAATGGTATCAGTGCCCTATTTGTTGGTAATCGCCGATTGTATTATGAAATTTAGGCAGGATCGGGATGAGCCGGTAATAAAGATGACACACAGATACACACACACTGTGTCTGCTAGAGTAAAATGTGACGTTTTATTCCGCCACAGAACACAGCAAAGCAAGCACATCAATCAAGCCACGGTGCTGAATACATATTATATTATTTCAATACAAATTATATTGTCCCCCTTACCGTGACACAAGGGATCGGAGAGCCAGTCGACCCTGGCAGGGCAGCAACACGCGCAGCTAGGCGTTCGTACGCAACCCTAGCAGACTCTGCCAGTGCCAACCGCCACCCGTCATTTATGCCAAACTTCAAAGGAAAATCTTTCGCCCAATCAGGAAAATGATGGCTGCCTCTCAAGCCTGGAGCGCATGATTACAGAAACCAATATATGTTTCCGGCATCCCCCTGAACCCACCCAGGGGTCGTGGACCGCCAAAACATGGAAAACAAGTTACGTTATGCTCAGAGCATGGCACCGAGACCTTGTTAGTACAAAAACAAATTACACCATGCTCTCAAGGAAACAGAAGTTAGATAATGAGAGTGCTTAGGTAATAGGAGTGCTTCATTTGTGATACGAAACTTGTATGATTGTCAAAGTACATAAAATATAAAGCCCATATATATCGCCGATACCATCATTTTAGTGCTGGATCGGAGCCCCACCTGATACTGGTATCGGTGCAACACTTATTAGGACTCAGAAATGTGTGCTTTGTCTTGTCACCCATCCTAGTAGATTTGTGTCTCATACTCAAAATTTTTAATTAATATTCTTAAAGTTATGAATTTTAGTATTTAATTTGTGATTTGTTCTTGTAAATCTATGATTTTTTACTAGTAAATGATGATTTGTATTGATGAATATGTGATCTTTTCCCCATCATTCATCTTGTGCATATGTAATCTGTATTGGTACATCCAGCCTTCCTTAAAGCTCTCTCTAACCGTGCGTATGGCGTACAAAGCTGGTAGAGACGAAACACAAGCAGCTTTAACTGCTATTTAAGCTCCAGCATACAATATACAGGACATTTCAGAGACATTTATGGTTTTAATATAAAAAAAAACACTGAAGTATACTGATTTTAAAAAATATAAGCAAAGATAAATGGTTATTTAAATGTATTTACCTTCAAAGACTGGGTGCAAATCGACAGTATAATGACTCCAATGAGAAGGGCCATGGTACGGCTACTTATCCGCTTTATATGGAAAAACTGTTGCACATCAAGGCAGAAATCCAGTAAAGATGACTGACACCTCAAAGAGTTTGATTCTGTCTGATTCTTGCTCTACCAGTGAGTCAAAACAAAGGCACAGCAGAGGAGGAGTATCTGAGAAATTCCTAATTCTCTATGGTGATAAAATTCACCAAATGTTCTGGGAGTGTTCAGAACAGATGTTTCCTACCTTTAATAAAAACTTATAATCTCTAATGCTAACCTTATTACATAATGAAGTCGTATTTATTATAGTCAACCGATATTTAGAGTTAATGGAGCCTAATGAGATGCAGCTCTTTGTCTTTCCACTATTCTAGTGTTTCAGACTCGCTCCCTCTCTGCATCTTCATGCCCACCATGCTCCTATCTACCATCCTCTGCGAGTGTCATTAAAACACTCCAGTAGCATGTTACTGATTAGCTGCATTGTGGTATTTGAAGTAGTTGTTTGGAGTGGCTAAAATCTCAGGGAAGATCAAGCTCTGTAGGAGGAGGGAGAGAAGAATGAGTATCTTTTTTTTCTATTATTTGGTTTCATAATCATTCTGTGACTGACCACAGACAGAAATCTGCTTTTCATCCTATAAATAGTTTCCACATTTGGTCAAATTGTGATACGTCTCAGTATGATTGTAGGGATTTTATTTGATAAAGAGAAAGGACAAAGTACAGCAAATAAAAATTATCCTCTTACATTTTCTACACATTTTTATAATAAAATTGGCAAAGGTGTTTTGTGAATCTGTCAGTACTCTTCAGGACCTGTTTTTCACATTTAGATCAGGTTGAGAATGATCATCTTTAAAGTCGTAGGGAAACGGCAACCGAAAAAAGATCAGAGGGGGGAATCTGTCAATGAGATTTGAAAAGAATGTAATGCATTAAACTTTAAAGTCGTAGGGAAACTGCTGTTCAAATCGTTGCATTTCAGAATTCTCCTGAATGGTGCCCGACTTTACATGAGTGGATAAAGTGAATGTGATTGGTCGTTTTTTAAGGGGTGGGATTGTTGTGGCAGAAGGTTCGCAAGCAAGTTTGGTTGCGGCTGGTGTCTCAGAAGCATCTTGCTAACCAGTTAGCAACTTAGTGCTAGTAGGTTCCCAATGGGAAATTCCATTGGGACCAAGTAGCACTAAATTGGTGACTTAGAAACGACACTGTCAAGGAACGCTATGGACAGAGGAAACATGGAAGAGGAGGAGAGTTTAGTGTTGGAGGTCGTGGATGAGTCTCCTCCGTCATACATTTTTTATTTAGAGGAGGAAAGCGGGATGAAGATGTTGTGGAAGAGGACGCCAGGGCGGCAGAAGCTTGGTTTGGTGTAGAAGGCTTCCAGCCATACATGTTTGAGCCCTCGCCTCGCAACGCTGCCAGTTCTGTTAGCTCTACGCCTGCTGAAGACACAGACGTCCATCCCCGTGAACACTGGGACGGAACTCAATGGGAAAGGACATGTATCTTATTTCTTATTTCAACTGTTGCGTATATTAGCTGTGACATATGAATCAAGATGCTATGACCGAAAATTGGATTGACAGATGACCCTTGATATACGGAACTCTCCATGACCTCCGTCACTAAACTCCCCTCCTCTTGCATGTTATCGCTGTCCAAATCACCAATTTAGTGCTACTTGGTCCCAATGGAATTTCCCATTGGGATCCTACTAGCACTAAGTTGCTAACTGGTTAGCAAGATATTTTAGAGAAACCGGCCACAATCAAACTTGCTTGCGAACCTTCCGCCACAACAATCCCGGCCCCTTGATAATCGACCAATCACATTCACTTTATGCACTCGAGTAAAGTCGGGCACCACTTGGGAGAATTCTGAAATGCTACGGTTAGAACTGCCGTTTCCCTACGAATTTAATAAATTAACTGAGGTAAAAATCCAAAAATCAAAGTACAAAAATACAAGGAACCACAAAACCAAAAAACTTCAGGGGAAAATTCACGTGGGAAGACAGGAAAAGACGAAGAACCAGCACTGAGGAACTGCACAGGGAGAGTATATATAGGAGACAGAACAAAGACTAAACTAATGAGCTGATTGGGAGCAGGTGTGGATGGAAGGCAGCATAGAGCAGAGGTGGGCAACTCCAGTCCTTGAGTTAGTTTCATCCTTCGCCCAACACACCTGAATCAAATGGTTGAATTACCTCCCCAGTATGCCATCAATTTCTCCCGAGTCCTTTTAATGATCTATTTATTTGATTCAGGTGTGTTAAGTCAAGAACACATCTAAAAGTTGCCGGATACCGGCCCTCCAGGACTGCAGTTACCCACTCCTGATTTAGAGGGAGGCCAAGGGGAAAGGAAACAAACACAAGGGGGAACAGAGAGTAACTCAAGAACAAAACACTGCTAGAAAACAACTACAAATACAAATACACTAAAAATAAACTTAGAGGGCAGAACCCTGCCAGCGGAAACTCAGACGACCACTGCAGCAGCGTAGAAGCTTAGAGCGACCTTCCTCAGCAGATCAGACTGGCCTCCACTGTTTGGCTTTTGACAGCGAGCAAGACGGTGGGCTTCATGTTATCTTTTTATCCCATTTTATTTCTGTGATGGTGTGAATGTTACTGTTACCCATGTTTGCAGTGTTTTGTCTCTTACTTGTACTATCTATTTATCTTTACAGCACATTTGTTTTAAAAGTACTTAACACATTTGGATTGGAAGAGCTTAAATTTGATCTAAAAAAATCAATTAATATATATCAAATTAAGCTAATGGAAAGTAAAACAATTGTGCTTGAAAGTACAAATGAGTCCAACGGAACTAATAAAGTGACTGATATGAGCGTTTAACACCTTGACAGTGGAGTTTTTCTGGAAACCTTGGGTACGAGACTTGGGTTACCCAAATGTTTAGGAGAGAGACCCTGCAGCTGGAAATAAAGCAACATAACTTTAGTCTTAGTTCCTTTTTATTGTCCATCAATGGCAGTTAGAGGGTAGGGGTTCAGTTTACGAAGACAGATTAGCTTTTAATTTGACCATATTGTAGCAGAGATAACGTTACAGCCTGTCTGCTATTTTATGAGAGGGTTAGTCATGCAGTAAACCAATAGCATTAGTGTTTGCTCAGCATCCTCTTGTGAGTTGATGTTTTCTCTGCAGAGGTCTGTTCAGTGATCCGCGATCCTACACACAGAGACGTGCACTGAACTTAAAACATTTCTTAAGTTTGAAATATCAAAGACAACTACGGTAACTTAAAATCCAATGATTGTGAATAGGTTCTTGTTTAGACAATCAGAAAAACATCCCTACCTTTAGCACTTGATGGTTTTCTGCGGGTGGAAACCTCAGGATCATCTGGCTGGACGTCATCAGTCTTCTTATAGTAGTACGGTTGGTCAGGGGGGCCAAACCTCTACGTGTGATACACAACATTCAGCTGTAGCTATTTGGCTGCAGAATACAACCGTGCTCACATCACTGACTAAAGTACCTTGTCAGGACAAATGAAGCTAACTAAGAGAACCAGCGGAAGTCCAACAACGAAGACGTAGACACCCATGAGCCATGGACGCTGGTGGATGGACAGCATGATGCTCTCTAGGAAACTGAGCTGTAGATAGAATAATACCGTGTTAATTAAAAAAGTGTTTGCCCCGTTCCTGATTTCTTATTTTTTACATGTTTGTCACATCTATGCGTTTCAGAACATGAAATAAATGCCTATATTAGGGAAAGAAAACACAAAATGCAACCATAAAGTTAAGGTTTCTGTTTAAAACAGAAAAAAAAAGGTATGGGTTGCATTGTTCCGCAGTTTATAGCACTGTTGCCTTGCAGCAAGACGGTTTGGGGTTCGATTCTTTGGCCAGGGTCTTTGTGCATGGATTTTCTATGTTCTCCCTGTGGATACGTGGGTTCTCTCTGGGTACTCGGCAGTTATGTGCATGGTTGTGCATCTCTGTGTTGCCCTGTGATAAACTGGTGACCTGTCCAGAGTGGACAACTCCTTTGCCCATAGACTACTGGAGAGAGGCACCGGCCAGTGGTTAATTAAACAGGAGAAGATGGATGGATGGCACTCCATCCTACATTAACCCCACATAAATTGAGTTCAGTGTATCATATTTTTGCTTTGGCCTTCTCTCCTCTCCACCGGGCCTATTTACAGTTTCCTTTCACTCAATTTGTTCATCTACTGTGAGATTCAATGTGCTCATTCACATAGGGACAACATGCGTATCATTCACCTTTATTGTGCGGTGTAAATGTACCATAACAGTACTTCTTTCAGGATTAACCTTCGTCTAGCTGCATTTGTCTTCCAAGCACTCCCACAGTATGATGCTGGCACCACCATGCTTCAAAGTGTAGATGTTGTGTTCAGGTAAATGCATCAGTTAGACAGGATGTGGCACAGTGATCCGAAACCCATTTTATTAAGTTGCTATGTGCCACGAATGATTTCTTTCTTTCTTTCTTTTTGTCTTTTTCTCTTCCTTCCTTCCTTCCTTCCTTCCTTCCTTCCTTCCTTCCTTCCTTCCTTCCTTCCTTCCTTCCTTCCTTCCTTCCTTCCTTCCTTCCTTCCTTCCTTCCTTCCTTCCTTCCTTCCTTCCTTCCTTCCTTCCTTAATAAAAAAATTGAAAACCATGTAAGATTTTTAAGCAATTTCACAATTGCTTTTTTACACATAACAGAATTAGAATACATTTCAGTTCATGGTGATAACTGGACAAAATGTAAAAAAAAAAAAAAAAAGTGGTAGTGGTATGTAAAGACATGCAAGGCACTGTGTCTGTTTGTGGTTTACATAAAAAAAACTCTTACCTGCCCTGCTGCAGACACCGGGGCAACCAGCATTGTACCCAGCACCAGAGAAACTGACTGCATTGCTAAACAAAAAAATAAACAAACAACAAACAAAACAGGCTGAAAATAATTATTTCATAGCATAGATACAATAGCCCATGTACAGCAAACACAGAGATCTGATCTATCTGATCTGTCCTACAGAGGGATTCAGATGGACAGAAAAGCAGCATGCAGAATTAAAATATAAGAAGGTTCCAACATGGAAGAAGTTCATCTGTGATCAGAACAAACAGCAAAGGTTCACAACACATTTATTTTTACCTTTTTAAGCGGGAGAGTATCCACCGTCTCCTGAAGTCACTTCCTCATATCTTATAGACTTGTGCTGTCGGACTTTGACCAGAGGCCATTTGCTAACATGAGAGCAGTTACAGAGTGACCACATTACACGATTATCACTATCATTAACACACACACAGCCTTTTTTACAGCTGAGAATGAATCATTTCTAATACTTAACAACAAAAAATAGTTTATATAGGATGGCATTATTAGGATTTATACAATGGATTGTAACTTAAAACAGATTGACCAAAAAAGAAGTCGCCTTGTGGGATTCAAGCTCAAAGCATTATGGGATTTTCTTCCCAATAAATCATCTAACTTCATCGGTTCAAGTTGTATGTGAAGTTTATCTTTGCAATGTAGATGTTGATGGCTCTGAAACTTTTACACATTTCATGAAA